GGGCCATATACATTTTTCATAACAACATAATAAATACCATATCTTACTTATGGCATAAACACTTTTCCTAGATATTAATTAAAAGTACTTTTGATAGCTGTATAACATTCAATCTCACATTTTCACTAAACAAATGTTTCAGCAAACAGTTTTCTACATTAATGTCTAATGACATTTCTGATTATTTTCTTATACTAAATCCTAGTAGTAGAGGGCTATAGGGTATGAACCCTTTTAAGATTCTTCATATTTATAATAAACTGATTTCCAGAAAGGCCGAATCAATTTACACTTCTATCAGTAGTTGATGAGAATTCCTATTTCATCACACCACAGTGGCACTGAGAGTTCACTATCATGGACAAAACATTTATTTGCTCTCAACAGCTCCTATAAATAAAATACTAATCTGTTTCCTTTCATAGCTCAAATGATTTAAGAGGCATGCATCCTACCTTAACCTCACCACCCACACATTTTACTACAACATTCCTTCCCCCACTCATTACTAAAATTGTTCTGATAATTTAGTGATCCCTTTCTCATCATTTATTTTTTTTTTAGATTCATCATTACCTCATTTGTTTCCACTCTTCCCATCTTTGTAGTCACTTGACTCTACAGACCTCATCCTTCTACAAGGACTCAGGCCCACCTGACATTCTACACCATTTTCTTTCTTTCTTTTTTTTATTTTATTTTATTTATTTTACTTACTTATTTATTTTTCCTTCTCCATTCTACACCATTTTCTCCTTTCATCTGTGACCTCTATAATCTACCTTCTTTAATGTCCTCTTTGCCATTTCCTATTATTTACACTGTCAGGCCTCAGTTTTAAAAAAAAAAATTTTTTTTTATTGATTTCAGAGAGAAAGGGAGAAAAAAGAGAGAAACACCAATGATGAGAGAGAATCATTGATTGGCTGCTTCCTGCAGAACCCTACTGAGGATCAAACCTGAAACCTGGGCATGTGCCCTTGACTGGAATCAAACCTGAACCCTTCAGTCCGAATGCTGACACTATCCATTGAGTCATACCAGCTAGGGCTAAGATTCAGTTTTTGCCTCTATTCCACACTCCTCTCTGGGAGGACTCCTCCATTCTGTTTTAATAATCTGCTCCACACTGATGGCTCCCATACATTTCTCTAACTTTACCCCTTCTTTGTCTTCAGGTCTTTGACTGAGAAGTCCCATCCTCACCTATAACTCAGTACCACCCACTACTCAATAGTGCACCATCCTCTCTGCCAAATCAGCACCTCTTCCCAACTTTCTTATTCCCAACACTCCTTCAGTCCCCCATGATGAAAAATGTCAAGTCTTTAAGTATTTCCTTAAATTACTCTGTCTCAGTCATACTTACAATTTCTTCAAAACATATCCCAGATATATTAGTCTTCTGTCATTTCCACCATCACTTGATACATGGATTACTGCACTACTTTCATAGTTAGCAGCTATTAGTGTTGTATGTAGGAGCCATGTTAATTTTGAAAAATGTTTGACTTCTGCTCAAAATCTTCAATAGACCACACCTTATCTCCTATTACCTCCTGACTAAAATCCAAGGTCATCCTTTCTCCTTACTTCCCTTTGCCTCCTCGATACCATATCATACCCCTTTCCAGACTCATTATACCCCTATCTTTACTTATGAACTCTCCCATCCTTTTTGTTTCAATGAAGCCTTCAGTAATAGATAATCATAACCCACACTGCTTTTCCTTTCTCTGAATTTTTAAAGCCAGAGGTAATGCTGGCTCTTGGGAGAGGGCTGGCAGGAAAAAGCCCTGATTTGAGGTGTTTGCCAATTCCTTCACCACAGCAGACTTCAAGCTACCAACGTGACATCATCGATGGGGATGAAATTGGGAAGAGATGTGCACAAAGCCATTAAGAAATGGCTCCAGGATACCACAGAATTGAAAACCTGTTCTGTAACCAAAAACTTTATATGGTCATGTACAACCTCTCCAGGTGTACTATTTAAGTACATTTGTTCATCACAATAAACTCGCAGTCCACTCATATTAGGGCTTTCATAGTGTACAGGGCACAAAGCGTGTGTAATAAAAACCTGTTGGCAAGAACTGGAGGAGAGAGATGCAAAGCCAAAGACTGGAGCAGGAGAAGTGGCCATGTACTCATTCAGGGTTGGTTAGCAAGAACAAGCAAAAAGAACAATAAATGTAGGAAATAACATCAGAATGGGACTCAGGAGAAATATGGGTTATGTCCCACCTTTGTACTCATGTGACCCCTGACAAGTCAATTTACTTCTTGGGCTTTAAGTTCCTTCATCTTTACAATTAGGGGAATGGACTATAAGACTTCTAACTTGATTCAAATGCTCTGCGATGTGGGTTAAACTGACAAGGAGACAGACTAAGTCCATTGCATTGGTATAAAAGTGATAATAAATTCATTTTAAAATCCACTAATAAGTCAAAGGCGTTATATTTTCTAAGGTGTGAAGAAACATTCTTATAAGGCCTTTCCATTCCTGTGACCTAGTAATTATTCTGTAGAAAGATACAAAGTCCTAAAGGTTATATCTATTTTATTCTACTTCTGGAAAAGAGATGAGCAAGTTCCAAGATACTTCTGCAGCATGTTCCACAATACTTGCTATGTTTCTCATCAAAAAAAAAAAAAAAAAAATCTATTACCTGTCTATTATGAGCTGCACACTGGTAAGTACTGAAGATTTAGTTAAAACAAAACAGTCTTTATCTTCATGAAACCCACACTAGTGTGGGTCAGTAGCTATTTAGTTCCAAATCATCTGTATCAATACTTTTAAACTTAAAGAGTACATATTGATCTGAAAAATGGATGCAAGCTATGGACTCTTCATAAACAGGTATGTAAACATAAACATTTGAATAAAATTATATTATGTATAATTCCAGAGGTTCTCAGGACCTGTCATCTGTGAAGTGATTCAAGAATTGCAAGTTAACCCTAACCTATATCTACAAAACAACAAATAAATTCAAGTTCATTCAAGCTCATATTCTGTGTGATAAGGGAGTATAGCAAAGATTTCCAATAGAAACTATTAAAAATAAAGGGCCATTGTTTAAAATATTAAATTCTGGATATTTGAAATTTCACTCACCTAGAGCCATGGCTGGCAAATTGCGGCTCATGAGCCACATGTGACTCTTTGGCCCCTTAAAAGTGGCTCTTCCACAAAATGCCTGGGCAAGTGTATTTTGAGGAAGTGGCATTAGAAGAAGTTCAAGTTTAAAAAATTTGGCTCTCAAAAGAAATTTCAATCATTATACTGTTGATATTTGGCTCTGTTGACTAATGAGTTTGCCAACCACTACCATAGGGGGATGTGTGACTGACAGCTTAGGCCCACTCTTAAGCTGGCAGTCAGACATCCACAGCACTGCCATGGAGGCGGGAGAGGCTCCTGTCACTGTAGCTGACCTTACCAACTGTGAGCTCAGCTCCTGGTAAGCTGAGTTCCCCCTGTGGGAATGCACTGACCACCAGGGGTCAGCTTCTCCATGGAGCATCTGCCCCCTGATGGTCAGTGCGCATCATAGGGACCCATAGTTCAGCTGTTGGTTGATTTGCATATTAGCCTTTTATTATATAGGCTAGCAAAGTGCCTGCATATAACCTAATACTGTAAAGCTTCTAGAATACTTATAATACCTATTACAAGGTAAATGCTATGCAAATAGCCATTATGCTATATTGTTTAGGAAACAATGACAAGAAAAAAAGTGTACATGTTCAGTAGAGTTGCAGCCATCATAGACCTAATTGCATAATTCATCTCAGCAACAAGGTAACTTTTTTTTTTTTTTTTTTTTTTTTTTTTTTTTTAGTATTTTTGAATGGTGCTTGGTTGAGTCCTTGGATAGGAGGGCAGGCTATATAATATATTAGTTGGTTCAGGATGCTTGTTACATCAGTCTTCTTACTTGAAAACCCAATTGCATATGGATGTGTGCTTCCTTTTCATAAGTAATCCTGCATTTCATGACTCATTGCACATCAAAAAGATCCAATTAGCCACGACAAATACATATACATACACTGTGAACAGGCAATTTGAACAAGTCAAAGAGCACAAGTTCTGGAATTAGAGGGCAGGCTCGTGTCCTGGCTCTAACACTGTGAAAGGAAGGGATCTTGGACAAGTCATTTAGCCCTACGTTTCTTCACTTGTAAAATGTAGAGGGAATGCTAAAACTTACCTAAGAAGGCTTACTATGAAAAAAATCAGTCATGTAAAATAACGTAGGTGAATATATTTAGCTATAAAATGGCCCCTCATAAGTAAAAGTTCTACTGCTTCCCCAAGGAGGCAAATTAAGCTTTGAATCCAAATGCCCATTATACAAATTTCTACTAGGAAAACAAACTGCAGGTCCTGCATTTACATTGCATTAAAATAAGTTTAAAGCACTTAATTGTAGATTTAAAAAAAAAAATGCAGCCCTCATTTTAAGAAAACTGTGAAGTCTTAAACCCGTTGCAATCATCAGACACTTAAGTGGGTAGGCAACTCCAGACTACAGGTTTTCTCTGACAGCAAGGATCAGCTCGAGATGAGGGACGGAGGAGACTCAAGACTCAAGCAGAGTAACGGAGGGAAGGGGGAGAGATTGGCCTGAAAAGTGTGGAATGAATCAGGCAAGGAGGGAGTTCTAGAGAAGGCGGTGACCTGAGCTCCGAGGAGGCTGGTGACAGGAGGTGGGAAGACAGGGGGTACAGGGCTCCTACAGTTGGTGGGCGCGGTGGATGGAGAGCCAAGTGGCGAGCGTCACACCGGGCCAGCCCCCAGGGTCGGCTCGGCAATTGTTCGCTCCCGCTCTTACCGCCGTGCGTGCGGGGAGAATCCCGAGCAACCGGAGGGGAGTGCGTGGCGGCACCAAACCACTGCCAGGCGTGGGGAGGCTGCAGCATTCCTCCAACCCCAGCGGCCACGCTGGCTTCCCGCCCTCCCTCAACCCGTCCCCGCGTCTCACCCGCCGCCAGGCGCAGGCCGCGGAGGCTCCCCATGGCCGCCCACTCCGCTGACCGGCTGCGCGCCCCGGGGAAGGTGTAGGCGCGGGAGCATTCAATGTCACAGAATGACGCCAACAGGACGCCGGCGGCGGCGGCGGCGGCGGCGGCGGCGGCGGCGGCGGCGGCGGCTGGCGGGGCGTGTGGGACGTAAGGGCGGAGCGAGCGGGTCGTGCGTGACGCAGCACGTCGGTGGGCGGGGCTGACGGGCGCGGTGGGCGGGGCTGACGGCGCGACCTGGGTTGCTGCTTGGGACGTGGGTGACGTGCAGAATGTGCGAGCGGCGCGTCCAGCGGATCCCCCCTCGCTTGGCGTCCTCCCCGCGTCCTTAAAATGTTCTTGTAAAGGATGGGCATCGCGGGCTTTTGCAGTATTATCCTTTGCATCTTAAGAAAGTATTCTCTTAAAATAGAAGAAAAGTAGTGCGCTCGTTCATTGCAGAACTTTTGCGAACTATGCACCTCCGGAAATCACGCTGCCTAGGTAAATCAGCATTTCAGAACACGGTTGTAGCAAGTGTTTTCAATGAGTCACGCCTTTGTCAAAAACACCGTAGCTGGGGCTCAGTGGCCCCCATACCCTGTTGGCTTTGGGAGGCTAATTGAAAAATTAACATGTCTATTTCCTATTTATTTATCTAACACCGAACACCTTTCCAACCCGTATGCGTTGTCAGAAATGTCTCTTCTTGACATTTCTTAGAGGTCCCAAATTCTTAACGCAGAAAGGCCCCCTCTTGTCTCTAGGGACGGGAGATAGATATTGGAGTGGGAGGGTTAAGAAAAGCCATTTCTACTCCAGGTTTCCTCCTCGAAGGATCTGGTTGGTGACACTAGGAAATCGTTTCCCTTTTTATAAGAAGATGGAATTAGGGTAAAACAGTTCCTTCAAGTTCTGACATTCCTCCATCCATGCATAGGGGTCATTTCTAGGAGGACGTGACCAAGTTGCGATGGAAGTGAGCTGTCAAAGGGGTAAAAGTGAAAAGCACTGCAAAGTTCCAGGTTTCTAAGTGAATACGGACCAGGGGAAAGACTAGCGTTCTGCTATCTTTCTCGCCGATTTCCCTTGAAATATTTTGTCAGGCGCTGCCGCGGGCACCTTTGCTCCGCGGTGATTGGCTCCCGGCCGGGGCCTCGCGTTTGTCCAATATGGCGGCGCCCAGTGGCGGTGTGAACTGTGAAGAGTTCGCGGAGTTCCAGGTGATGGGCTTTTTCCCAGTGGCTGGTGTGTCCTTTCTTTTACCCCCGGACCCTGTACCCACCTCTGGCCTAGGAGGGAATGCGGACAAGTTATGGAAGAAGCGAGCGATTCGAGACTCTTTTTTTTTCCGAGCCATTGGAGGTCATGGGGGCGCGGGGTTGGCCTTAGAGAGCCAGGCTGCTCCTTGGGGGTCATGGTTCTCCCCGCGCCGCCCAGGCCTTGAGCAACCGCACGGGACACTCCGGGTGGTAAAGCCGCGCTCGGGCCCCGTGGGTAGGGATTGTAACAATCTTTTAGCCACCCATCGAAATCTGCCTAGCCTGTACCATTCTCGTATTTTAAGTGGAGCCTTTGTAGGAGATTTTTAAAAAAGTGAATGAGAGCTTACTTGTTTGATAAATCAACGGGGCACAAATTTTATTGTTTTGGAGGGGTATAATATTTGGGGTCTTGGAAGAGCGAGTGATTCAAGTACCTGCCCTGGTGCTGCTGCCTTTCTAAGCATTAGAGAGAATGTAACATTTAAGAAAAATGCTCTATCTTTTATATATTCAAGCACCAGAGGTCTAGGGTTAAATTAACCCATGAATTAAAGAACGGGGATTTGGGTTCTGACCGAGTTGCATTGAAAGTTATCTGTTTCAACGTGGGCACAAATGTGCTGCTGTCTAGATTACAAATGTATTTAAAAGTATTTTTGATTTCAGAGAAAGAGAGAGAGAGATGGAAATATTACTGATGAGAATCATTGATCAGCTGCCTCCTGCACACCCCCCACTACCTTGGTTACAGGTGGGACCAAGCCTGTAACCAAGGCATGTGCTCATCACCAGAATCAAACCCAGGACTCTTTAGTCTGCAGGACCACGTTCTATCCACTGAGCCAAACCAGCTAGAGCTACAAATGTATTTTTAACATAAAGATATTGAAAAATTATTTCACATGTCATTGACCTATCTGTAGTAAGCTTTGTGCTTTGAGCCATTTTGTAGGGAGTGGTATTCTTAAAGATAACTTCAACAGACTGAATTCTTTGACAGATGATTTGGCGAAGGACCTTATGTGAGGTCTTTTTGTATATGAAGTCATTACTTGCACCCTCTTCACCACTTCAGTTGCTTTTCAGACTAGCTCAGCACAGCAATTGACTTCAAATATGATTCATATGCCCAACAAATGCAAACATTTACAAAAATCTTAAGTAGGGCCAAAACCTGTTTGGCTCAGTGGATAGAGCATCGGCCTGCAGACTGAAAGGTCCCGGGTTCAATTCCGGTCAAGGGCATGTACCTTGGCTGCGGGCACATCCCCAGTAGGGGTGTGTGCAAGAGGCAGCTGATCCATGATTCTCTCTTTATCCCTCTCTCTTCTCTCTGTAAAAAATTAATAATATATATAAATATATATATACATTTTAAAAATCTTAAGTAGAAAAAAAAGACTTGAATTCTAAAGTATAAGGACTATTTAAGGTTTACACCATTTGTTGCCTTGGTCTTGTCACATTAATACTGTGATTTAACTTGAGTCAGTACACTCAGATAACTGTAATAATAGTCTTAAGGTTTATGAGAAAGAGTCTTGGTTAGTGATTTAGATGTTCTGGGTTCTAGTACTGCTTCTGCCATTCTATTAGCTTTAGGATCTTGAGCTAATTACTTAACTCCTTTGTCATTAATTTTTGAGTCTGTAAAATAAGATTATGTTAAGTAATATGTAAAACTTCTTCAATCTCTATAATGTTATTTGAATCTCTAAAACCAAATTTCAGAGGATCTCTTTTTGCTGTTAAAACACTGATTATCCTTTTGGAAGGTCAGATAAAATGTTGTAAGTGGGACAAAAGCTAAACTGTCGTGCAGAACCATTCCATTCAGAGAAAAAAAAATAATAAAATAAGTAAATAGTGATACCTAGGGGAAGTTTCTAAATATTTTCTCTAGGACTTTTCCAAGTACATGGTGTATAGTGAAAAAGTCAGAAGAACTGCTTTTCCAGAGCTGGCCTTGCACATCATTTAACCTCATTGTAAACAAGAATAACATTTGTCCCTATTGCCTTGCACACAGTAACTTAAAGGAAGGTACTGTAAAACTATAAAGTTTTAGTATAGCATTTAGGTTTTCAGTGATTCTAAAGCTATCTATAATTGAAACTTTATAGCCTTGAGTAGAACCAAGCCACAGCCATTTTTATTGGGATTTATTTATCTTCTATAATTGAAACTTTGTAGCCTTGAATGGAGGCCTGGGCCTGCCAGGGTGTGCAGAAAGCTTGGCTTCCTCCATTGCCAGGAAAACCCAAGCCTCCTGCTCACTCTGTGGCTGCAGTTATCTTGGTTGGGTTATTTGCATACTCGATTCTGATTGACGGGTGGGTGTGGTTTGTAGGTGTAGCAGAGTGATGGTTAATTTGCATATTACTCTTTTATTAGTTAGGATAAGCTGCCAGGGACATTTTCTGTATATTTTCTTGGTTGAATTTGTGAGAGAGGGTATGCTATTAGGGCTAGGCATCAGGTAAATAGTCAGTAGTCCTTTATGAATGAGACACATTTAATGGCAGTACTTTTGTACCTACATTAACATTCCAGTTGCTATTAATCTATGAGGGCTGCCCAGGCTTTCTTCTAGACCAACAATTTACAACCGGTGTGCTGCAAGAATTTTTAAAAAATGAAATACTTGACTGTTTAGTCAGGGGTACTGACCTCTTTTCCCTTAGGTTGCCAAATAAAAAAATGGATAATAGCTAACACAACAATAGATGTTTGGTGTGAATGAATTAAAATTATACCTGTTTGTGTGTGTCACCGAAGCATAATATATATTTTTTTGTATGCCACAGAATTAGTTTATTTGTGCCAAGAGAAAATCGCTGCTCTAGACCTCTAGTTGTCTTGTGAATTCTAGTGCTTTTTTCAATATAAAGAAATATGTGCCTATTGAGTCTATAGTTCTTTTCCTTTTCCCTTAGAATTCTTGGGAAAATATCCCTTCTTATCTTTAGCTTTTCTATGACATTTAAAGAATAGCTTATAGTTCTCAGCAGTCCTTGGGCAGGTACAGTATTAGTTTAGAAACTGTCATATATATATATTTCTTTTCTTTTTTTAAAATATATTTTATTGACACAGAGAGAAAGGGAGAGGGATAGAGAGCTAGAAACATCGATGGGAAAGAAACATTGATCAGCTGCCTCTTGCACACCTCCCACTGGGGAGGTGCCCGCAACCAAGGTACATGCCCTTGACTGGGACCCTTCAATCCGCAGGCCGAAGTTCTATCCACAGAGCCAAACCCGTCAGGGAGAGACTTTCATATTTTCTTAAATTCAGTACTGTCCATTAGGTCTTTCTGTGATGGTGGAATTTGTGATGTCCACTATCAATAGCCACTAGCAGCACGTGGCTCTTGAGCACTTCAGTTATGGCTAGTGCAACTGAGGAACTAAATTTAAAATTTTATTTAATTTTAATTATAGGAATCTCATGTAGCTAGTCTCTGCCCTATAAGGTCAAATATTGATAATTCTCTAGCACACAGAAGAATTGATATAGTTGATAATCCACATTTGTAGGTTCTATTGAGTGATTCATTCACTTATCACCTAGTAATGCAGATGAATTACCACTGCTGTATAAGTAATTTAACAGTCTGTCCTAGTTGTTTTATTAGAGGAAATTTGACTATTTAGCTACCATCAAATTTAAAACTGGTTAAAGTTCCAGGTAAATAAAAATCCTAGGCAGTATCAAGTTAGATAATCTTTTACCCTGATTGCTGTATCAGTCTCCTAACTAGTATCTTGTCCCTCTCCCAGGCCGGGCCACAGGCGTAGGCACAGCCGCTGGCATCCGAGACACAGAGCGGGCGGCTTGTCCCTCTCCTGGGCCATAGCCTGGCTGGTCCCCATTCCTCTCTTGTGAACTCATTTGTGCCTGGCTGGTCCCCATTTCTCTCATGAGCTCATTTGTTCCTGGCTAGTCCCCATTCCTCTCTTCCCAGTGTTGAATGTCTAAGCCATTATGGCGTGACAGTGTGAGGGCATGACAACCATTTGCATATTAGCTCTTTATTATTCCCCCAGATGCTCTTATAGTTGACTCATTCATATTTAGGTCTCAGCTCAAATGCTTCATCCTCACAGTGGCCTTGATTTCCCTATCTAAAGTAGACCCTTCCACCCTACCCTGTCACTCTTCATCCCTGTTACCTTAAGTTTGTTTTCTGAAACCCCTATCCGAGGTTTCAGCCTGTGGTCAACCACAGTCTGAAAATATTACATGGAAAATTCCAAAAAGAAACAACTAATAATTTTTGAATTATACAACTTTCTGAGTAGCGTGCTGCCCTGCTCCATTTCACCCAGGACATGAAATCATCCCTTTGCTCCCTGTCCATTAGTTATTTAGTAGTTGTCTTGGTTATCAGATCTGGTCTTGATACTGCAGTGCTTATATTCATTAATAATGGCCCAGAGCATAAGAGAGTGATGCTGGCAATTCAGATAGGTCAAAAAGAAGCCATATATGGCTTTCTTTAAGTGAAAAGGTATGTATGTATAAGGGAAAACACAGTATATATAGGGTGTAGTATTGCTCATGGTTTCAGGCATCCAGTGGGGGTCTGAGAGTGTATCCCCAGTGAATAATGGGGGACTACTTTACTGAAATTACCTTGTTTATTGCCTGTCTCTGAGAATTTTCTCCATAAATGCAAGGAATTTTTCTGTTTTATTTACCACGATAGCCTTGGTGTTTAGAACGATGTCTGACATAAATTAGACATTAGTGAATACTTTTTAATGAACAGTGAGTTAATAAGTGAGTGAATTCTGTGGTACTGTCTCTAATTACTACATATAGTTTAAAAAAATCATTGAGGCCTCTCAGCCAAGGAAAGCTTTATCTAAAGGGTATAACTTAAATGTTGGCTCAGAAGATTGGTTTGATTTTAAAAGAGGTTTTTTAAAAAAATAGTCAAATTATAGGAGATAAAAGTTAACAAGGTAGGTCCCTCTCTGCTACTTACCTACTTTTTGACTGTCTAAATAGTGCTAACCATCATTTGTTTGGAATTTGCCATTCACTGACATGATACATCCTGCACTGTACGTAAAGTGTCCCGACCCGCGGGGCAACAACGGGGGTACACAGGAACCACCTAAGAGAATGAAACAAACAAGGAACGCGAAGAACGGAGGCAAGACAAAGTTCTGATCAAGCCTCGACTTAATTTTTTAAAATGGCTGTATATATACAGCAGAAACAAAGGGGGGGAGGGTTGCCTATGCAGAGGGGTCTTTGGCAGTGTACAATTGGTTTAGGCACTGAGTGGCAAGGTGGTAAGGTATCTGGCAACACAGGATTGGCTAACTGCCAGGGCTGCGTAACATTCCTAGGTGTAACATTCCAAGGCTGGGCTATCTATGGGGGAGGATCAAGAAGGGGAAGTTGCAAAGATGTTAAGGGGCAGGTTAATCTTATCTTCTGGCCAAACCCTTAGGGCACCGCAAAACTTCTGCTAGAAGGAACTTAATTCTATTTCCTTAAGACCGAGTTGCTTGTCTCAACTCTGATGGCTCCCAACAATAAAGCATTATTTAAAGTTGCTTAGTGAATATGTTGAGATTAACTCCTAAGAATTCCATTGTACAGAGAATGATGGATGATGCTATTGACAAAGAAACATATAAGAAGAGGGGATAAGATAGTTAAGTTGATTTTAGACCTGATGTTGGCCTGTGTTTTATTAGTCGAAATTATGAGCCTGCTAAAAGCTATTTTATTTCTAGATTGAAACTAGAAAAGATTGTTAAATTATTAATGAAAAATTAGTGGCCTAAGTGGTTATTATAATTGGGAACAGCCTAAATGTTCATTAATGGGGAAGTGGTCAGAGAAATTGCGCTATCAGCACTCATGGTATAATGTCATGAAGCTGGACTTTAAACTGTTACATAGTATCTCAGTTTTATAAAAATATTCATAGGTATTTATAGGAAAAACTGAAGGGACATGTTAAAATATTGATAATAACTGAATGATTTTAACTTTCTTTAAATTTTTTTTTTCTAATTTGAATGTGTAATGCTTTAGTACTAGTAAAAATATTTAACAAATGGGTAAAGAAAGAAATAAAGGAGTTGGTTTCAGTCTGGATTAAAGTTTGGCAAAGGAAAGAAATAGAATGTTATGTTGAGGGAAATAGAGGATCTAATAGGCTTTATTGAATGACTAGAGGTCCAGTGCTTGAAAATTCATGCACTGGAGGAGAGGGTTTCTCACCTTGGCCTGCCCTCCTCAGTCTAGGAGCCCGCAGGGGCGTCCTAGCGATCAGGGGAAGATGATCCCCCACCACACCTCTGCTGCCACTGCCGGCAGCGCAATCCTTGGCCAGCCCTGGTTACCTGTGCCTCGGGCTGGCCATGGGCGGCTGGGCAGCCTCCATCCAAGGCTTGTATGTAGCCACCATCCAAAGCTTGTCTGCAGCTGCCATCCAAGGCTTGTCTGCCAGTCCTGTTTGCCTGAGTCTCATCAGTGGGGGGTTCAGGAGGACCCAAGGCCCCCAGGAGGGTTTAGGGGACTCTTGGCAGCAGGTGCATGCCGAGCAGCCTGCTGAGGCATGGGGGATACTTTCAATGACATGAGTTATAACTTCCAATTTGTTGGACACCAGTCAGTCTTCAGCTTCCGGAAAGGGAGGAAGAGAGAGATGGGCAGCTCATTGGAGGAGCCTGGGTGGCTGTCAGTTAGTGGCAGGTGCAGGAGGACCTGAGGGGGCCGGGGGGGGGGGGGGAGGGCGGTGGGGTAGGGAGGGGGGCAAGGGGCGCGGGAGCTGAGGAGACTCTGGAGGCAGGTGCGGAGTGGCCAGTCTTGCCCCCACTATGGGTGCCGCCATCTTGTGAGGGTGTGATGGTAAATTTGCATGTTACCTCTTTATTATGTAGGATTAATGAGTCAGGCAGCATCCCATCTAGCAAACAGAAGGGAGTTCCCTGATTTTCATACACATTAATATTGAATGTGAACTTGGATTTTTTAGTAATAAGTCTCTAACTAGAATTATATGCTTCTGTTTTCTTGATGATTTTGCAGAGATCATGTTTGTTTGTTTATGGGTGAGGGCAGGTTTAGGAAATAATTTAAAGAGAAAGGTAGACTACACCTTTTCTGGTGTTTATGTTATTTGGAAACAGGATGTAGCTAATTACCAACTTCTCTGACATATGTACGCTAGTCATTTGGGAGAAGGGACTATGCTGTATTCATGGTTACTCACCAAAGTCCAAGTCCTCTTGCCTGTTACCATTTTCTTGTGGTTGTTTGAGAGTTGGGGCCTTTTTCAGGGGTAGGAAGTCTTTGGGAAGTGTGAGCTAGAGTTCCTAAGAAAGATAAAACTGATTCTTGCTTGTTCTATAAACAAGAGAGCCATGAAGAAATGTGATTCCTTCTCTAGCAGCATATTTTGTCTTACTTACTTTTGTCACAAAAATTATACCACCATGGTAAAAAAACAACAACAACAATAAAAACTTAACAATGAAAAGCCTAAAAGGGTGTAGATTAATTTCAGCAAGTTAACACTACCAATAGTTTCTTGTGTTATCTTTCCAAAAGTTTCCTACTTAGCATCACATTTTAGAATGATAGAGAGGGAATGGAATAAGCAATTATGCTGGATTGCTCATTCCATTCCATGGAGAATGTGGGAATCCAGTTTAGTAGAACACTTTATTGAGCACACACCATTTGTTAAGTACTGTGGGTTACAAATGAATTAATCGTTACCCTTAAGATGATCACATTGGAGCCAAGGAAACAGAGCTGGTGCCCATTATTAGAATTACTATTATATAATTCTTGCAATGAACATTTTCCTGTATTTGCACTATATTTGGTGTGGTTTCCCCACTTTTAACATACAGGGTTGTAAAATCAAGAGCTCTATGTTTTGGTTTAAATGCTTCTTTTTTTTAAAAAATCACTTAACTTGCCATTCAGGTTATTCTTCTTTTATTTTAAAAATATATAGGAATTACTCAAGGTGATGAGGACGATTGATGACAGAATAGTACATGAATTAAACACTACGGTTCCAACAGCTTCCTTTGCAGGGAAAATTGATGCCAGCCAAACCTGTAAACAACTTTATGAGTCTGTAAGTGTATCTTTTGAGTCTTTCTTTTGTGCTTCTATGCATTTCTTTGCAGGCAAAATAAGAACTCATTTGATAAATGTTATAATTAAACTGTGGATAAAATAATGACATGTTTTCTTCTTGCTCACATCTGAAGGTGTGTATAAGTTTTGACATAGTTTCTACAAACTATCGAAATGTGTAATTGTAGGCACAGTCTGTGAAGAGATGGTTCTAAGGACGGGAGTGGTCGTTTTTGGCCCCTCTTTGGGTAGTCTTTAACTTAAGGAAACCTTATATACAAAGGAATGAAGGAGAGAGTGAAAACAGTCAAGTAAAATAATGAAACAAGAGGAGGACTCAGTCCTAAGAAGCCAGACAGTGGTATAAGAAGAATTAAAACCTGTCACACCTTCTGTGTCCTCTTTCTTCCCTTACTTGTCAGGAAGGGGAATAGAAGCATTCGGTGGTTGGGAGAGAAGGAAAGTCACAGATAAAATGTCTTTTCCTAAGACTGGTTTTTCAAGTATGTGTTTTCATTGACTCTTAAAGATGCCCTTTATTTTTCTCTTCACTTTCTAAAAGCAGAAGGAAATAATGTAGCTAAGTACTTTTTATACTTATATCTTTTCTTTAACATGGAAGCTAAAGTTCAGATGGCATTTGCTTTTTTAGGCTTTACTGCAAGATTGCTATTTGGATTCATCGTCTCATAAAGAAGGAATTCCTTAAAACCTGACGTCCATTTCTCAGTTATGAAAAAAAAAAAAATCAGTTTTGGATGAGCTTATTCATTTCAGTAAAATTTAAGCCATTAACTGCTGCTATTTTTGTTCTGCTTTCATATGAAAGTACATTATTTCAGTGAGTGGTCAGGTAATTCTAATGGCTTTAGAAAATCACAGGATAATGGGCTTTAATGAGTAGAATCCAGTTTTGGAAGTAGGGAGCATCATGCTAGACCTGATTTATTGTGAGGTTGTTTGACTATTCACTTAGCTTCTCTGGGTAGCTGTTGAACTTGAAATTATGACACTTTAGTGACCCCACTCCCCTACTCCTAATCTCTGTAACTTATTTGTTTCCAGTCCTTTTATTAATTTAGAAGATTATATTGTAGTGATTATAAAATGGATTCCAGATCTAGATTAAATTCCACCTCTGCTACTTCCTAGGTAGATGACCTAGAACATGTTACATAACCTCTGCCTTAGCTTCCTTATTGGTAAAATAGTATCATAAGAATATCTCGTTCATAGAGTTGTTTACAGGATTAAATGAGCTAATATAAAGTGCTTACTGTACTAAATGTTTTACATAGTAATGCTTGATGCTCCTATTATTAGTTATTGCTATTATTATTTGTTATTCTTTTGTTGAGCCAAGATAACCTGGCATACTAAATTTGGAACCTTTCTGTTTTGTATATTCTTAGGTATGAGTTTGGATTTTTTTCTGTCATTATCCTAAAGTAGCAATTTTCAATCTTTCTTTTATCTCATGACACACATAAACTACTTACTAAAATTTTGCAGCATATTGAAAAATATATTTTTTGCTGATCTGAAAAAAAAAAAGGTATAAAAATAGCTACTGTTGTGTTAGCTGCTGTCAGTTTTTTATTTGACAATCTAAGGGAAAAGAGGTCAGTGCCCCTAGCTAAATACTCAGGTATTGCATGTTTTAAAATTTTTTTATGGCATAGGAGTGTACCACAGCACACCGGTTGAACATCATGCAAAAGATTGTTTATTAAGTAGTTTTGTGCAGCACAGCACATTAATAAATACCCCTAAGTTCCTTCAAATATTGTCTCAGTTAAGAAGTGGAACTCCATGAAATGTCTAAGCTGCTTGTAGTCACCCTGACTCACGTTAGTCCCCGACCCTTCCTTCTGTAGCTGATGAAAAAGTATTTGCACTCTAATGATAATGCTTCTTCATAGAAGATGATCAGCAAAGTTATTATGAAGCACTTGTTTTAGAAATTCCAAATCTTAAAAATTGCTTGTAGTAAAAATAAAATAATTTTAGTGAGATCCCCTTAGTAGAGCATAGTCCCTTCAATCTATTAAATTTTTCTAGCTTTATTTATTGTTCTCGAGATAAACATAAAATTCAATTCTGAGCAATATAGCATCAATAAACTTGGAATAGTGCTCCAAAACTATTATTGGTGTTATAATGATTGATTTAGGGTGATTCGTATATACTTAAATGGTATGCTTCTCCTTACATCATTTTGTCAGAAGTTCTGGAAGAACATTTAAAACACAAAAAAATGCTATGACAAAAACTTCGTAATTTTTGTTTGATTTATTTTTAAAAATTGATTTATAGAGGGAGAAGAAGGGAGAGATAGGGAGAAACATCAGTATGATTGAAACATTAGTCTACTGCCTCCTGCACACCCCCAACAGGTGATCAGGGATCAAGCCGCTATGCGGGCCTGAGCCCTGACTGGGAATCTAAGCAGCAGCCTTTTCCTTTGTGCATGGGACGATGCCCAACCAACTGAGCCATAGTGGCCAGGGCTTCTGTTTTATTTGAATGATACTTAACCAAGGGTCATTCTCAAGGTTCTAAAACAAACCAAATGATGTTTAGAATTTAATTTGAAGTTTACTTAGAATTAACCTTTGCTTTAGAAAGAAAAACACCAAAAAGCCAACAAACAAACAAAAACCACATAAAGCACCCCATACTATAATTAGGACAACTGTTGGCATTATATTTCCCTTAAAGACAGAAAACATTGTTTTAAAACAGTGATTAAAAGAGGTGAAAATTTTAAACAAAGTTTTTAAAGTTTAGATAAAATAAAACCAGAAGTCTTAGATAAACCGCCTTTAGACTAATTTTGAATCATTCTCCTCCCTCACTCCAATGTCTGCGTTTCAAAACTTCCTACTCCAACTCAAAGGAAGTATGGTTATGATATGCTTATTGTTCAGGATATTTTTTCCCTGTATTCAAAGGCCTTCCTTGCCATTTACCAAGTTTCTTAATAAATTTACCTCAGTCAGTTCCTTTGATAAACACTTCATATAGATCAGAAACAGTTCTTCTGTGACCAGATCCTAAGCATCTGAATTGCTAATGAGCCAAGCCTGGTTTAGTGCAATATTTTTCTTTGCTAGGCTTATGTCAGATAATCTATTATTAATTATCAAGTGTCCTGATTTCTTTGACATAGGTGCACAGAAAAGTCCAGGCATATTTCTCTTGCACAGGCTCTGAATTCTGAATTTTATTGAAGGATGGTCATGGAAATTGATTATACAGAATAAAAAAAATTTGCCCAGTAATTTCTCTTCACATCAAGTGGTTTCCCAAGAGGCTAATATGAAGGAGAAGTAAGCAGGGGAGGGTGGGAGGGTGATCTGCAGCTAGAAGTCTGTGCACAGAAAAGGGGCAAGTTAAAGAGGGGAAGAGTACAGGAAAGTCCAACCAAAGAAGGAAACTTAGTGGTGAGAGAGACTGAAAGGAAAGGTCCAAAATTTGAATTTGATTTTTAAATGCAGATAGAAAAGTGCCAACTGTAATTGAAAAATAAAATTTAAAAATATTAAAATAAGCCCAGCTGGTCTGTCTCAGTGGTTGAGCGTTGACTTATGAACCAGGAGGCCATGGTTCGATTCTTGGTCAGGGCACAGGTCTTGGTTGCCGGTTTTGTTCCTAATAAGGGGCAGGTAGGAGGCAGTCGATCAGTTGGTTCTCTCTCATCATTGATGTTTCTATCCCTCTCTACTTCTCCCTTCCTCTCTGAAATCAATAAAAATGTATAAATATATTTTTAATGACCATCATATCAGAAACCAAAGGGATTTAAAGAAAAACTGAATTGAAAAAATATTAAAATTCTAAAAACTAAAATGCAGATAGAAAAGTGAGACTATTTTGTTATACTTCTAGTTGGTGCGAGTGTTATTTCACCAGTTGCTGGGGAGTTAGACACAATATCAAGGTGACTAAGTAACATCTGGTATCTGAGCAGTGTATTGAGTCATGTTGCCCCTAAATATTAGAGGTAGAAAGGATATCAGTGATTATTTTCTCAGAATTTTACAAAATACTAAACTGAAGCCTGGAAATGCTAATTTCCTTGTTACATAGCAACATGGAGAACTTCGTAACTCTCAGGATGGCTCTTTTCTTTTTATTCTCTTTTAGGAAGAGTAGTTCCCTGCCCTCAGTGGCTCCTTTAATTTCCTGTAATTATACCTGAAGGAGTACAGAAGCAGCATATTAAATCATTTGGAATAGGAGCCTTGAGGCTATCTTTGTGAATCAAATGTTACAATGAAAAAAAAAATAGCATATTAGAGAAATTTACTATAGGTGGGGTTAATGTCTATCAGGTGGTTTACTTGTACTTTTTTTCTCTTTCCATGGGTATGGTTTATAATTACTAGTAATGCACTTTTAGGACTGCACTCTAGAACTGCAAAGGCTTATTCTTTCCAGGTGAAAGATACATCAGTCATTCTCAACCGTAGGGTCCCAATATCATCATCTGGGAGATGTATTTCAAATAACTTATGAAGAATGCTTATAGAATGGTTAAGTTAGTGCCATATATATATATATATATATATATATATATATATATATATATATAATGGTTGGGTTATCCCTATTATAACTACCACGTTAGGTTATTCTCCAGAAAAAAGGAAATGATAATTACACGGAGCAAGTTAACACTTACATTTTAGTTATAGGTGAACCACTTATTTTATGTACCTTTATTATGGTGATAGTGTATTATTTTAGTGTTTTTGCTTTTTCTGTGTCATAAATTTTTGGGGTGTCATAAAAATTTGGTTATGATCATAGGAATGTGTTTGAAATAAATCAAGGCATAAAATAGATGTGAATTGTTATATTGGATTTGCTACATCAACATGATGGTTAATAAAAAGTTGTTCTGACAGATGTCCTTTCAATCAACACACACAATTGGTGGAATCAATAATATGTATATTATACATACGTTTTCCTTATTGATATTTTAAAATCTTAAAAAGGACTCTGTCTTACATAGGTAAAGTAACTTTGTTTTTCTTTATTGTAACTAAGAGCTGCTCTGCATCACTTACTTTATAATTCCTTGTATTTGGTGACAACATGAGGCTGAAGAAAGCATGAAAGGACCAAAAAAGGGAGGAAGAATACCAATAGGAAGTGGCCCGGAAGATGAGTGAGGGTGGGTGTAGGGTAGAGGAACATATGGATGGAATGAGGAGAGAGGGGCGTGGCAGGGAAAAGGAGACAGAGGCGATGAGTCCAGTGTGGGGGTGCGGGAAGAGGGGTTCGGGAAGAGAGCAGGAAGCCCTGGGAGCTTATTAAGGAAGAGCGCAACCTGAGCACCGGCAGAGGTGCTTCCTTTGATCTGTTTTTAGGGGATTTAGCTGATTAGCACCATCTTCTCTTCCATGGACCTAATTTTTAAAGACTGTTTTTAGAAAGTATTACATTTCTATAGTCTCAAAATAAGGATTTAAAAAACAACACTAAAATGTGATAAATTGGTGTGATTTTTTTTTTCTTTTTTCATTCCTTTGTTCTTTTAGTTGATGGAGGCTCATACCAGTAGGGACAGATTTATAAAAAATTGTATAGCTCAGACTTCATCAGTAGTAAAACACCTCCGAGAAGAGAGAGAAAAGAATTTGGACGATTTAACGTTATTAAAGCAACTTAGAAAAGAACAGACTAAGGTAAGTTGAATAAGGTTTACATTTCTGAGGCAAAGTTTTTCCAAACTTAGCCTTCAAAATAATAGCAGTTTTTAATATGAAAAATTTAGAGTAAGGTATGATTATTACTTTAAGAAAATTACCAAGAGATTAAAACTTTATTTTCAGTGGACCTTATTTTTACATTTGGAAATATCCTGTGGTAAATTGGTAAATTAATGTGCATTTCATGAATGTATGCAATGTAGCAGGTTTAGCTTAAAATAAACATGTAATCATATTTTATTTCAATTCCTGCTGTTAAAGGTAAAAGGATTAATTCAAACCAATATCACACCAGAAAATCTAGAAAAATCACATCTTTATCTGTGTCCTGAGACTTGACTTGAGAAGAAACATTTCTTAAATGTATTTACACTTTGAAAATATTTACTTCTGGTATTATTTGTAGAAATTTGCTGAAATATAATACAGTTAATTAACTTCAGAACATTAACCTCTTCATCCATTAAAATATAGTATAATTTATTATAACCAGATATACTACAACCTCATTATAACTTATTTCCTTACTATGGAAAGTTGCTCTGGGTCTTTGGCTCTTTTTTGGACATTCTATTTAACCTTCCATTCCTGAAGCTTTTGCTGTTGAGAAAATAGCAAGTGCCCTCTGAGAGCTTTGTCAGAGGAAGCTTATTTTCCAGAGTCAGCTATAATGTAGGTAAGGTGTGGACATCTGAGTGCAGTTAATGAAACAGAATACTTCTTTAAAGCCCTAAATGTGACATGGCAGGAAAACAGGAGAAATGTGTATGTATCATATTTTTCTATGTGGGATGCATTACTGTCTCCTGGGGGTCTTTTAAGGGGTACCTTTTTATTTTTATATAATTTCAAACTTACAGAAAAGTTGCAAGAATAGTATAAGGAACTCACGTGTACCCTTTACCTGATTGACCTATTTGTTTACATTTTGCTCCACCTGCTTTACAATCTGTCCTCTTCATGCTCCCTTCTCCCTCTCTCCTTCTCTCCCTCTTTCCCAGTCTTCCTTTCCCTCCCATCTATACATTTTTTTTTTCCCCTGAGCCTGTTTGAGAGTATGTTTGGCATGTTGTACCCCTTTAGCCTTATGTACGTTGGTTATTTCCTAAGGATGGGCATTTTCTTACATGACCACTGTACAATTATCAAAATAATGTCTATACTTTAAGATGCCATGATAGGTGACTTCCTGAGCCTTGCTTGTCAGGTGAGTGAAAATCCATTGTGGGATGGGATCATGTTTTTCATATTGAACAGTTGTGAAGTTTGCCCTTTGTTAGGAGATATAGCCAGACTTTGAAAAGGAGGCCTTGCCATCTCTTTCAAGCCTTTGTTCTTGGAGCTGCACATGAGTGTGCACTTTCTCATCGTCTCCCTGGTGCTGTCTGTCTCACTGGATACGGGATTCACCCACTGTTGCCACTGCTCTCTTTGGTCATGAGACTGCTTCAGCCCTGTGTTCCATAGCTGCTTGTTCATCAGTGGAGGGTTTCTCAATAGGGGACTTCTCTAATGGTCATCTTCCTATACTATTAGTGTTTATGAAGGCCTAGAGATAATTTATATATCGCCCGTTAAAATGCAGTTGCTTTTGGATTTTGTATTTTAACACTCTTTACTGTATTAACAAACAAAACTGCAGGGCAGGGCTGGTAAATCAGAAACTGAAAAATCACTATTTGCAAATTCAGTCAAACAAAGAATAAAGTGACTGTTAATGGAGAGCAAAGTTCAGAAACCAGTTAGTGTTTGGAAGTGTCACACAGATCGCCCCGCCCTCAGTGCTGCCTCTGCCTCTCGGACCCAGAGAGTCACCAGGGTGACCACTGTAAAGGGGGAGCTTTAGGAACCACTCAGTGAGTCAGGAAGTATAGCTTTCTACCTGATACCATGAGGACTATAGGGTAACCATGAGTAATACTTACGCAAATAAGGAAACCTGAATTTTTTATTTGCTATGGAGATTATGGAGTCAGAATGAGACAGCCCTTTTTTAAATAAATTAGTTTTTTGGAGAGAGAGAGGGAACCATCATTTTGTAGCTCCGCTTATTTATACATTCATTGGCTGATACTCATATGTGCCCTAAACTGCAACCTTATTGGGACAGCACTCTAACCAACTGAGCTACCTGGCCAGAGCAGAAAGAGACAGCTGTACAGAGCTGTTCTGGCTCCACCTTTTCATTTTCTGTATAGGAAACTGAAACTCAGAGATACTAACTGACACCCTCAAATCACAAGCTGGTAAGTGGTAGAACTGGGACTTGAACCCATTTCTTCCATCTCTTCTACTATTACTGTAGTGAACATACTAATCAAATTCTGATTTCTGGCCCATGTAGCTGATTAAAATCCAAAACTGAGGTGGCTTTGGTATGTGCAGGTAGGTTTCTTCAGGCTTGTTGCTCCTTGACAGCAGAGCACCAGTCATGGAAATGCAGCCCTTCCCTGTGTTCCCGTTTCAGCCCTGTGTACTGGCCTACACTCTGACACCAGCTCAGAGTCAAGGAAGGGCATTTACAAGGAGCCATTGTGTCAGTACAGTCTTATTAGTATTACTAGAGGCCCATGCATGGAATTCGTGCATGGGGCAGGGGGTTGCTCTCAGCCCAATCTGGGACCCCTCAAAGGATGTCTAACTGCCCGTTTAGGCCCGATCCCACCATCAGGCAATTGAACATCCCTCTCACAGTTCAGAACTGCTGGCTCCCAACTGCTCATATACCTGCCTGCCCGCCCGATTGCCCCCTAACCACTCCCCTGCCAGCCTGATTTACACCTAACTGCTCCCCTGCTGCCCAATTGCCCCTAATTGCCCTCCCTTGCTAGCCTGGTCACCCCCTACTGTCCTCCCCTCTTGCCTGGCCAGCCTAGTTGCCCCTAACTGCCCTCCCTTGCAGGCCTGGTCCCTCCCAACTACCCTCCCCTGCAGGCCTGGGTCCCCCCGCAGCTGTTCTCCCCTGCTGGCCATCTTGTGGTGGCCATCTTGTGTCCACATGGGGGTGATCATGTGTGTTGGTGTGATGGTCAATTTGCATATTACCTCTTTATTATATAGATGTGCACGTTCTCAAACTTCCTGCCTGAGCTATAATCCTGTTGGTCAGGTTCTTTGGCCTGGGTCTCCTACTCATGGTTGCCAAGATGGCATGGTTCTTGACTTTGGCCTGAGGAAATCATTCTGTTTTTGACCTCCTGGCTGTCTCAACCTGTAGTAGTTGCTTTTTTATCCTAATTTTTCTGAATATTTTCAAGCCCTTTTCCTGGAATTGTTAGGTTCTTTCCTTTCAGGGTTTCTTTTACCAGAGGTGAGTGACTAAGAATATGATGGTCCCTGACATCTGGACCTAGCAATTGTATCAGCTACTTTTATGATTAGGTTGGCAGTTATAAAGAAAATTAGGAAGACTTAAGAATTCTTTGCTTTAAACCTCTGGAGCTATATGGTCAAGGTGTAGAAAACTTATGCCTTTCAAGATCAGTTGGGCCTTATATAGTCCCCTTCCTCTCTTTGGTCCCCCCTTCCACTCTCCGCCTTGTCCAAGTCCTTTTTCTTAATCTAAATCAGATAGCCACCTCCTTACCATCCTTTTTATTCCTCTGTGCTGTCTGCAAATCTGTATTTTAGAATCAATAACCAAATCTGGGAGTTTTTAGTTCAAGGACATGTGAATTTATAGATTTTTGATAAATCTTTTCAAATTGTCCTTTATAGAGGTAGCTATTTTTATTTCTTCTGTGAATTACTTTGGAATTTGAGGGGGGTTTTTTAAGCTCTCAAGGTGATTATAATATACAGAAAAGCTTAGATCCATGGGTTTTTTTAAGATTTAACAATTGATTAGTTATTGAAAGAATGTGTGTCAAAGAAGATTCCCAAATCTAGCCCAGGTAATACTGCTAACAAAGAAAGCAGCAACAGTGGCTGGTTTTGTTGGAAAAACATTATAGAGTTTGGTTTTAGTTTTTTAATTTACATTTTCATAACTTATTAGTAAGTTTGTTTTTCCTTTCTTACAGTTGAAATGGATGCAGTCAGAACTGAATGTTGAAGAAGTGGTGAATGACAGAAGCTGGAAGGTATGAAGTAATATTGGCTCTGAGAGAACTGGGAGGGAAACCAAGGGAGGAGGAGTCAGGAGAGCCGTAGGGCTCCTAAGAAGAATAGAGATCCTTCATTTACAAAGCAACTGAGGGTTTTCTCTTGGGGGTGGGGTTGGGGGGCAGAGGATATGGTTAGCATCCAAATAGAATCATCTTATAAAAACTAATTTTAAAGTTATGGTAGAATTGTATGACTTGTCATGATAATAAAATTGGAGACATTCTGTATGTTTTTAATACTAATTATGGGCATATTTGATATTTAGAATTTTTACTCAGTTCAGAACCTTTACTGAGGTTATTTGTTAAAATTAGTCCTTTTGAGCCCAGTTACTTTCCATAAATTTTTATAACATCAGCTACCCTTCACAGTTGCTTGTTTTCTAACATCTGATCCTGAAACATTCTTGTACATTGTTTTTTAGTATCTGACAGTAGGGTTCCTAGATTCGCATGATCTTTATTACCACCTGCATAGTACTGATTAGGAATCAGATAGGTAGATGGAGATTCTAGGCATAAAATCCTGACTAGTTTCCTAGAAATGACTGTCTGCATACCCCTTTCTAAAACTATATCCCCCTCTCCTTTCCAATGGGTAAAATCTATTAAATCTGAAAGAATGAATTGAAAATTTTGTTTTATCCTTTGTAAGTAACCAGTGGTATGGGCTTAATCTAGAAGAGGTTAATTGAACTAAAAACTAAAATGCAAAGCCATGAATAAATTACAGAATCAAATTGATTTTCTTTGTTTTTGTACATTCTTCTCCCCTCCCACCCTCATACCCCTTTCAAACTCTAAGAGAAAGTATACTTAGAACGTTACAGAAGTAGAAGTGAGCCATAGAAGAAATGGGCTCAGGAAATAAGTTACAGAAGCAATAGAAGGGCCCATGAAGTTTAGGAGAAAGAGAGAGGCAAGGAAAACATGCCTGGGGGGAGAGTGTGGGGAAAGACATGGGCGGGTTCCATAGAGAATGACGCATACATTTCTTTATTCGATCCTCTGCCAACATTTCCTATCCCAACCCTTTTCACCAATGTGATAAGGTGTTTGCTACTTGAAAGATTTTTGGCAATATTTATCCATTAAAATTCACTGGAGAGATAATATTTGCTCTTGGAATGGGAAAGAGGAGAGGTACAATAAATAACTGGTTTGAAAAATCCAGTGCAGAGGTTGATGTAGGTAAAATGTATTGTAGTGGGAAGAGTGAAGCATTTTTGGATTTGATACTAGTTATAAAGGAAGTATACACCATCCTCCCACACAGAAAGTAAGATTCCCCACTTGTTTTAAAAAGAAGAAAATGTAGCCATGGTGCAGTAGGCCAGCAAAAGTATCAATAGTTAGGAAGTCATTTAGGAAAAGGATTTGGAGAAGCTCAGCTGAGCTATATACATTGTCCCAACCACTGTGTCAAGGCCACTAATCTGAAGCCTCTTCTGGTCTGAGTGTTGGGAACTTAAAGGAACATTAGGGCTGGGAACTGACATCTGATAAACTATTAGATGAAAGGGCCAGAAGGAGTCTATATATTTTCAACAGGTTTTTTTTTTTTTTTTTTTTAATTGTGAGACACAGGCCTAGGCGTATACATTATGTAGAATTTAAAGAATGTTAATAAATTAACATTCATGTATTTACCACCTAGCTTGAGAAGTTGAATAATAGCACCACCTTAAAACTCCCTCTGTAGATTTTGCTTTTATTTTTTTTATTATTATTTTTTTAAATATATATTTTATTAATTTTTTTACAGAGAGGAAGAGAGAGGGATAGAGAGTTAAAAACATCGATGAGAGAGAATCATCGATCAGCTGCCTCTTGCACACCCCCCACTGGGGATGTGCCTGCAACCAAGGTACATGCCCTTGACCGGAATCGAACCTGGGACCCTTCAGTCCACAGGCCGACGCTCTATCCACTGAGCCAAACCGGTTCCGGCAGATTTTGCTTTTATTTTTATGACTAAAGTTCTGGTGCACGAATTCATGCACCAATGGGGTCCCTCAGCCTGGCCTATGGGATTGGGCCGAAACTGGTTCTTCAACATCCTCTTAGGGGTTCTAGATTGTGAGAGGGTGCAGGCCAGGCCGAGGACCCCCACCAGTACACGATCTGGGCTGGGGAGAGATGCGGGAGGTTGGTCAGCTGGGAGGGACCTTGGGAAGGCTCCAGGGCGTGTCTGGCCCATCTCAATTAGTCCTAATCAGCCAGACCCCAGCAGCAAGCTAACCTACTGGTCAGAGTGTCTGCCCCCTGGTGGTCAGTGCATGTCATAAGCGGTTGAGCTGCCTTAGCATATTATTAGCATATTAACACTTTGACTGGTTGAATGGCCAACCAGTTGACCGGACACTTAGCATATTAGGCTTATCCTATGTATTATAGGACTAGAGGCCTGGTGCACTAAAATTGTGCACGGGGGATGGGGGTTCTTCAGCCTGGCCTCCACCCTCTCACAATTCTGGACCCCTTGGGAGATGTCTGACTGTTGGTTTAGACCCGATCCCACAGGAATTCTTGCAGAATTGGACCTAAACTGGCAGTCGGACATTGCTCTCCCGATCTGGGACCACTGGTTCCTAACCATTCGCCTGCCTGCCTGATTGCCCCTAACCACTCTGCCTGCCTGCTTCATTGCCCCTAACTACTCACCTGCCTGTCTGGTTGACCCTAACCACTCTGCCTGATGCCCTAGCCACTCACCTGCCTGCCTGATCACCCCTAAACACTCGCCTGCCTGATTGCCCCTAACCGCTCACCTACCTGCTTGCCTGATTGTTCCTAACCACTCTGCCTGCCTGCCTGATCACCCCTCACTGCTCACCTGTCTGCCTGATTGTCCCTAACCACTCTGCCTGCCTACCTATTGCCCTAGCCACTCTGCCTCGGCCCTGCCACTGTGGCTTCTTTCAGAAGGATGTCCATAATAATGTCCAGAAGGTCATTCAGCTGTCCAGTCCTATTAGCATATTATGCTTTTATTATTATAGATAGTCCACAGTAGCCAACATAGGTTTTTTTCAAACCTTAAAAATAATTTGTTCCTTGTTAATGAAGTTTGAGGATGAAAAGTATTCAATTTTTAGACATATGATTAAAAGGTTTTTTTTTAAATATTAAAGTATATACAGTAAAAATTCTCTCTCTCATCTCTTATAGTCATTTTTCCCTTCCCTCTGAAAGGATGGTACAGCTTTCAAATATTTTCACCTTTTCTAACTTTATATATATGCATACACACACTCACTCCCTTTGTTACACAAATGTAAGTGTACTGTCCACACTGCTTTTCCCCTTATTAGATCTTGGAGATCTTTTAAAATCAGAACAGAAAGAGCTTCCTTATTCTTTTTTAAAAATGTCTTTTTATTGATTTCAGAGAGTAAGGGAGAGGAAAGAAAGATAGAAGCATCAATGATGAAAGAGAATCATTGAACGGCTGCCTCCTGCACGCCCCTTACTGGGAATCAAGCCTGCAAATCTGGCATTACACTGTGACCTCTGGGTTCATAGGTCTTCACTCAACCAGTGAGCCACACTGGCCAGGACCTTATTCTTTTGTATGCTTACATTTTATTCCATTGAATGGCTGTATCAAAATTTTTTTATTAACACAATCCTATATTGACAGTCACAGAATGTTCTTTTAACATTTATGATATTTAATTTGTTTAGATTTTTAGGAAGCAAAGTAAATAGAACAACACATTATATAAATTTACACAGTTTAACAAAAGACTGTTTCCTTTCAAGCAAACCTACTTAAAAGAAGGGTTTGGCAGTCATTTAGGAAAACACAGCCGATGTTTAAATACATTTTACGTTATTTTTTTTTAAAAAGGATGAAACCTTAAACTTATTTTTGGTATTTTTGTCTACGTGTCCAAAATAATGGAACTGAAATGTTTGTTAGTTACTAAGTAAGCTAGTTTGTGATGATTTTTTTCCCCTTGAATAATTTAAGTTTTATTAAAATACTAAAATTTCCGTTATAAATGCATAGCAAAGCTTTCTGTGCTCTTAGCACTTGATCAGTCAGTTTGAACTGGTGAGAAAACTCTGCTTCCTAAAATTGTTGGCCTGGGACAAATGATTATGTCCTCTTGAACCATGACAAATTTAATTTAGCTCCAGGCCTGATTTACACATGATAACTCGATGGCTTGTTTCTCTTTTAATATTTTAGGTGTTTAATGAACGCTGCCGAATTCACTTCAAGCCTCCAAAGAATGAATAAAAAGCTCCTCTTTTTTTTAAAAGGACCGTGTCATCTCATAAGAGCTAAGCATGACAGACATCAGCAAGGCGGGCTTCCCAGGACGATCTCTGAGCCAACAGTCCAAGACTTTTTGTTTATTTCAGCCCCACTTAGCCAAGACCTCAAGTATAAATAATTCTGATAATTATGGAGAAATCAACTGCTATTTTATACTGATTCTGTTTAAAAAAAAAAAAAAAAAAAAGATGTTTTGTAACTATTAAAATAATTTTCTGACTCAGTCTATATATTTATTTGATGATTTTCCAAGTTGAGAGAATATGAACACAATTTTAGTATCTGCTTTTATTTGTATTATACCTTTTTGATTTTTATGAATTTATTGGCATGAACATGGGCCTTTGGGGTTGCTGATGATTTTATCCCTTTATGTTTGTACGTTTATTGCTCTTAAGTAAAAGGGCAGTATTATAGGCTGGATCCTGGAAAGAAACTTTCTCTTAGTATGTTAACTTCTCTTGTTTTCAAATGCAACAGAAATGTTTTCCTGGACAGTACTTCTGTGGACCATGAAAAGGAAAGCAGTAAAACAAATTCAAAAAAGGAAAGGCAGAGGAGGGCTTTATGATAGTAATAAAAAAGTCAGTGAAAAAACTGTCAGGATTTGGTCATTGCAAAAATAGCACTTTTTAAGTACAGGATGATTGTATTAGTTTTTATTGCTGCCTAACAAATTACTAGAGTTTAGCAGTTTAAAATCCCACCTGTTTGTCATCTTGCAGTTTTGTAGGTCAGAAGCCCAGGCAGGGTAGGCTGGGCTCTCTGCCCGGGGTCTAACAGGCTGAGACCAAGTTGTCAGCCAGGCTGCATTCCCTAGGAAGATTCTGCTTCCTGCCTCATCCAGATCCTCTGTTTTACGACTGAAATCCTCATTTCCTTGCAGGCTGGCTGGGGCTAAACTCTTGAAAACTATCCACATTTCTTGTTACATGGCTGTCTCCCTCTTCAAGCTAGCAACAGTGTGTTGAATCCTTTTCATTCTTGGAGTATGACTTCCTTTTCTGATGTAAGGTACGCAAACAGCTTTTATAGTTTGTGTGATTAGTTTAGGCCTACCGTGATAATCAGCATCTTCCTTACATCTGCAGATCCCTTTGGCCAAGTTATAAAGATCACAGATGTAATATTTCACATTCACCATCTGAGGGATTAGAGTGAGATAGCCATTTAGGGTTTTGCCTACCACAATTTAAAGCCACATGGCTCTGGCACAGAGAGATTGTCCCACTGGGTCATGGGTAGGCCTGTGTATTTAGTATGTTGATCTTGGTCAGATTATGCAGTTGGAAGTGAGCAATACAAGTATTAAATGCTTGCCATTCTTTTAATAGAACTTTTAAGCATATGCTGTGGGTCAGATACTATCTCAGTTGTTGGGGGTATTGATAACACAAGACCTACTGTGAAGATGGTATCCTAGTCTTTTTTTAAATATAATTTATGATATTTTAAGTCCAGAGTCTACACTTTTTATTTATTTATTTATTTATTTATTTATTTATTTATTTATTTATAAGGAAACTCCCTATTTTTAAAAATATATATTTTATTGATTTTTTACAGAGAGGAAGAAAGAGATAGAGAGTTAGAAACATTGAGGAGAGAATCATTGATCAGCTGCCTCTTACACACCCTCTACTGGGGATGTGCCCGCAACCAAGGTTCATGCCCTTGACCGGAATCGAACCCGGGACCCTTCAGTCCACAGGCCAACGCTGTATCCACTGAACCAAACCGGTTTCGGCTATTTTTATTTATTTTTTAATATATTTTGATTTTTTACAGAGAGGAAGGGAAGAGGGACAGAGCTAGAAACATCGATGATAGGAGAGAGAAACATTGACCAGCTGCCTTCTGCACACGCCCTACCGCAGATGTGCCCCCAACCAAAGTACATGTACTTGACCAGAATCGAACCTGGGACCCTTCAGTCCGCAGGGCGACATTCTATCCACTGAGCCAAACAGGTTTCGGCAACCTAATCTTTTCTAAAATATATATATATATATTTTATTTCAGAGAGGGAGGGAGAGAGAGAAACATCAATGATGAGAGAATCATTGACCAGCTGCCTCCTGCATGCTCCCACTGGGGATCAAGCCTGCTAACCTGGACATGTGCCCCTGACCGGAATCGAACCTGGGACCCTTCAGTCCACAGGCTGATTCTATCCACTGAGCTAAACCAGCTAGGGTTAACCTAGTCTTTAACAATAAATATTTTTCTAGAGTCAGCAATAAATGAAATTTTTGTACAGGATTTACCTATTAATGACAGGTGCCTGATAGAAAGTTGATGCTTAGTAATTACTGGATGTATGAGTGAATTGCAAGAATAAAGATAGCTTCACAAAGATCTTCCTCATGCTCAGGTGGGAATTCAGAAACAGAATCTTAGGATTTATAATAGCCTTTCCAGAATTCCAGGTCTGCTAAAGTACTATCTACCGTGTTTCCCCAAAAATAAGACCTAGTGCATGGAAAGATAGGACATCCCCTGAAAATAAGACCTAGCGCAACTTTGGGAGAAAAAATTATAAGACACTGTCTTATTTTCGGGGAAATGGGGTAGTTATGTTAAGATGCCTGAATTATTCCATTGTAACATGAAAAATGTTTACTTTTGGTAATGTAGAGTGACTTTTAGTCTGAATAAGTAGCATATTCTGTCTGATAAATGGCATTGAAAGCCTCAAATATGGTGCATTGCTCATGAAAGTTGATTACCTACTGATAGTCTCACATGTAATTGCTGCCTTAAAAACAAGCCTTGTTGCTTGGAGGATAAGATTTAGCCAAAATAAGGAAACAGAATGTGTGAAAGTTTAGAGATGAGTTTGGCCTTTCCGGAGTAGGATGGATGATAGCCATAGAAGAAACACCCATGATAAGCCATTTGCAAATTCCTTTAACAAACACTTGAATGCCTTCCATATTTGAGGCACTATTAATAGATCACTGAGCAAGAACAGATAAAAATACCTGCTCTTAATGTGCTTACATTACAGTGAGGGGAGACAGACAATGATAAAAAGGTAAATTATATAATATGCTAAAAGTGATGTTCCATGCCCCCAAAAGGAGGGGGGTTAGTAATGAAGAGTGGCAAGTGACTATTATCAGGTGGTTAGACATGGTGCCCTTGTCTTTGAAAAGATGTTTTCAGTACAGACTGACATATACCAAATAAATTCAGTAATAAAAAGGAAGTTTCCTAATAAGTCATTCTCTTTTTAAAGTTGTGCTCCAAAGATACCACTTTGGGAAATGGAACAATAATGTACCAGGTGCTACTCTGCTCGTGCCACACTACTTATTTTAGACCACCCAGGAATAACTTGTAAACTGGGAGATTTGTTAAATGTGTGGTCTCATTTCAAGTCAAGAAAATTGAATATTCTCTCTAGAGCTAGGTGACCTGGTCAAATATGGTAGAAATTACTTAGGTAGCTCATGATTCCCATATGTACTTAGCCTTATAGTTATGCCTTGATTGACTCTTTTTAAAAATATATATACTTTATTGATTTTTTACAGAGAGGAAGGGAGAGGGATAGAAAGCTAGAAACATCAATGAGAGAGAAACATCAACCAGCTGTCTCCTGCCCACCCACCACTGGGGATGAGCCCGCAACCAATGTACATGCCCATGACCGGAATTGAACCCGGGACCCCTCAATCCTCAGGCCAACACTCTATCCACTGAGCCAAACCAGTTTCGGCTTGATTGACTCTTTAATAAACAACTCGTATAGTTGAGCATGAACATTTACACTAATAAAGGAGAAAGATGCAAATTGTACCTTCATGACACCAGCCACTCAGGAGTGAGTATGCAAATTGACCCAACAAAAGTGGTGGATTAATTTGGATACAGACACCGAGTGGCCAGGAGCAGGACGCTTGCATTGTCGCCACGGTGGTGATGCAGACATTCTGCACCACTCCAGGCCTCTGGGCAGCGTGGGAAGGCAGAAAGGCGGCTCAGGACTGGAGCAAAGTCAGTGCTGACAGCCAGGGGAAGGAAGGCCCATTCTTGCACAAATATTCATGCATCGGGCCTCTAGTTGAAGAATAAAGAAGTAAAAAAGTGCTTACTCCTTATAGGGGGAGAATTTTCCAAGGAAGCCTAAACTACCCCAGAGCATTATGTACGGGAGGAAATCCAAAATCTTAGTAAGAGTTTAAGTGAAGAGCTTCCAGCTTCTAAATGCAGTGGCCAGCCAGCTAAGGGCCACTCTGTGAAAGGGGAAATGATTGGTCTAGAAGAATTTTTAGGTCTCTTGGAACACTAGGACAGGACAGCAAATCCACTGGCTGTAAAGATAATTGCTGTAGATTGATTTTCTTTTCCCATTTCATTTTTTTAAAACAAGCAAAAATCTGCCTCCTAATTAAAATTCCTCAGTGGCCTCTCACTGTCTTGAAGATTAGCATCAATTTCTTTAAATGGCTTGCAAAGTCCTTGGTGCTGTGGTTCCTGCTTACCCCCTACTTCACAGCTCTCTGCCTACACTCTGCTCCCTACCAATAGGGCATCACTCAGTTCCCAGAAAAGACCCATTCTCCCCTCTGAACTTCTGCACATCTCTCTCTTCCCTGTCCTACTTCATGTCTCAACTAGCACTTCTTTTCAGCAAGCCTTTCCTGACCTCTCAAATATGGTTAGGTGTCCCTTTTAAATGCTCCCAAGAGCAGCACCTCTTTCATGATCTGCACCTTGCTTCTCCGTGGCTGCTTTCCTCTCTCTTGCCAACTTTTGAGGTCTGGCACTGTGATTCTCAATGCCTGGCCTGGATAAGCCTCAAATACTGCTAGTTCTCTTTATTATATCCATTCCCCCTTCCTAACCAAAACGAATCCTGATTTTGTCTGGAGTGGTAGTGTGCCCAACTTTCTTTGTAGCTCCAGATAGCAGTGAGGCAGTTTTGGCTCATGAAAGATGAGCAGAAGACCGCT